GGGAAAGATGGGATAAATAGAATCTGTCGTGTTACAGCTTTTATTTTTTTTTTATCTTTCAGAGAGGCCATGACTTCTATGAAGGGGTTCGAGCAGGTAAGCATGCACACCAGAAACATTTCTCAAACTTAATAATGTGCAGACTCACTGCTGTGTTGCTCCTCTGGAGGTTGAGAAAAGTGCATGCAGCAACAGCTCATAGGGCACTTCCCAGCTTGCCACAGTTTTTGCTTGTTGGACTCCTGCATAGCCTAAATTTATTATCTGTTCCAAAGTGCAAGAACCATGTTGTTTCCTTTGTGTAATCTCAGTTGCCTAACATTATTTATCCACCTGGTAACTCAGCACCATGAAGAGGTTTCACCAGTTCATTGGGAAAGTTCAAAATATATTGAATGCTTACTGCAGTGAGTAGCTATGTGTATCATTTGTGTGTTCAGATTTAGTGTTCCCACATAGCTGGTTCAGCCAGCAATAAGATGGTTTAAGAGAGAAAGTCAAGAACAACCATTTGCATAGAAAATTGTTAGAACAGAGACTACTTTCACCCAAGTCCAAAATATCTCTGTATAGAGATTTCTTACTATTAAAAAACTATATGTGTAAACTTAATGTGATTTTAATGAATTTTAAGACATCGGTCAAAATAGGTAGTTGTAAATGTAGAGCAGTGGCTCATCAAGTTCATCTAGGGGACAGACTTAGATTCTGTCCCTGATTCTACTGCTGATTCACTATGCAGTTTGTCAAACCCAATGTCACATCTGTTAGAAATTGTAGTAATTATTTATGTACTATTCAGCACAATAGGACATAAAAAGTACAAGAAACAAAGCACAGGCATTTCCTTTTCCAAGGAGCTTACGGTACAACACCCTTGGATGAATAACACTACAGGTTTGAAGGAACATGGCTTTTAAATCACACAGTTATACACTCAAGTATGTATTATCACCTCCTCCTCATTTTTTATATCTGTTTTTATAAATTAGTTTAAAATCCACTTGAGTAATGGATATTAGTTTGAGTGTTCGCTGTTAGTAATACTGTATTAAAGATAGCCTGGGGTGAGAGATGCAATGTTTGTTTGTACAGCATGGAAAAAGTTTCTGATTTTAATTAATTAATCTTTAGTACTTATTAACAGAGACTCCTTTGAAGCATTTACCACACATGTTGAGAAGTATGTGGTTTTCATGGTGTTGGTAAAGGGGACAAGGATATCTTAAAAAGAATATTCCTAGAATGTATTCTAATCACATAAGCTGCTGAAATGTAGTTATTCAGGAAGTGACAAACTCAAAGTCTGAGAATCAGATGAGCACCAAATTCTCAGTTATAATGCACAGTCATTAAACCATCGGGGGATGCAGTAGAGGACAAAAGCAAATCACTTGTCAGTATGGCCAAAGTACTTGTAAAGAAAGAAGCTGCAAGAACAGCAGTTGGGAAGCTTTTCTTTTACATAGAATGATGTAGCAAAGGATTAACTCTATCAGGAAAAAAAAACCAGACAACCCACAACAGAACACCAGAGATCCAGCTGTGCTGAGGGGGTTGCTAAGAATAATAATTTGAAGCACTTTTGCTCTCTGCATACTGCATGTATCTTGTTCTCAGATTTGTCTTCTTAAAATTGTTTCCCTTGTTTAAGAGCTGTTCAGAATCTGACTCAAGATCATTTTTGTAGTTAGATCTAATTTCAGAAAAATCATTATCCAACAATGTGCTGAGCATTCTTTTTAAAAGGAAGTAAGATTATTAATTACTTGACAGGATCAGCCATAGTGAATAAAAATTAAAATGATAAAAATGTTAAGTATTAGCTTTGCCTTTATTGAAGCATTAAATTCCAAGCATTTAAGAGCCAGCTGTTGACCCTGTCTACCACAAGAAGATCTACCACAAAGTAAAGTTACGATATAATAATCAGATTTTAGTTTTTGAAGATTGTTTTTCAGCAGCAATCACCATAGGTCAGGTTTTAATAACAGCTTTTATCTGCTTCAAACTGTAATTTTAATAGGCATGCTAGGGAAGTAGTTTAAAAGCTTTTTAAACCTGCTTTGACCTGAGGTCAAAATCTTTCTTCTTTTAGCCAGTTTTCTTCCAACCAGACTGAAAATCTGCTGGCAAACAGTCTTCCCCATTTATGATTCTTGTGATGGGAGCTACTAAAGAAAAGCCAAAACCCTTAAAGCGTAAAATACAGAGATCATATTTCATCAGCATTTTCCCATGTAACGGTAAATGTGGTCTTTGAGCCCTTTAGCTATCCATTTTCACCTTGATTGATAGAATAATACAGAAACTAAGAAATGCATAGCTGGGGGTAATTTCCAATAATTTTGGTTTTTAATTCTTACTACATAGGAAACACGGTCATTTTTGGAGTCAGTGCTTAAACATATTCAGGTAGACTACTGTCTCACAAGCTGAGGGGACAAAAATCTGTTAAATTAGCCTCCTAACTATTTGTGCAGGAACGTACACTTCAAATGGAATTGTAGAGGTCTTCTACATATTGCTGATCCTGCAAAGATCTTATTTCTGTATGCCTCTGCCCTCTCCTGCAGTGCTAGCAGCTGGCAGATGTAAGCCTTACCCTGGGCACACAAACCTCCTGCAGTCAGTGGGTAGGTAGAGAGACTTCATTGCAGCTAACAGAATTTCAGGTGCTTAGAAACATCAGTGTTTTGACTGAGCTGAATGAAGCTAAGCAATAGAATTCCGGTAAAGTCACTGCTACTGAACAGAGGGTGTTCTGATTTTTTTTTTTTTTTTTAAAGGTAGAACACAAGAACAAACCCTTAACACAACATGTATGTTCAGTTACTTTTATCTTAATGAACCCTTAGCCTACCTTAGAAGTCTTCAGAATTTTTGTTCTGTTCTTGTAGTGATTGATACCCCAAGCTGGAGAAACACAAAATGTACAGAAGTTAATGCAGAAAGGGAATGTTTTCACAGTACTGCTAGAAAACATATTTTAACTCATGAAAGATTAAAGATCTCATTCGAGAGACCATTATGAGCATTCATTTTATCCATGAGAATAAAACTGGCCACAGATCCAAACAGAAAGATAACTTGATTACACGGTAGTGCCATAGAGTGGAGAATTACTAGCAATTACTACTGTATTGCAGAGTTGAAGTTGTAGTAGTATAAACATGGACTTTTTTTTTTCTTTCTCTCTAATGTAAAGCAACTCTAGTCAGTGTTGGCTTTTGTGGATAACAGTTAAGATTATTTTGGCCAGATTGTGAACTTCAACTGAAGTTGAAGAAAATCATTAGATAAGCACTACTCCAATGGAATAAATATAGCTGATTCAGGACAATTATGTATTTTGACCCAAACCAATCAATGGCTTCACATCACAATGTTTAAAATTAACTTGTAGGATCATAACTTTTCAGTCAGTTCCGCAGTTGAATGGCCGAATAAAATCACTCTTCTACAGCACATTTCTTTTTAAAAATTGCCCACATGGATTCTACTCTGTGGAATTGCAGCTTCTATCTATATAACAGATTTCTTTTCAAAATCAGTGTTTATTTGTATTCAAGGAGTCCTTAGTCCTGGATTTGCAGGTAAATGGATGCAGGGCACTGATTCTCCGTTCTCTTTGAAGATGCAAGCTAAAGAGTTGTGATGCCTGATTGTCTTCAGCTGCAGAAATATTAATTAGTGCAGTTGTCATTTGAATGGTATTTATTTTCTAGGCACTTTGCAAGTGTTGGTTATAGAGAGAAAAGTTAAAAACCAAGTTTGAGTCACATTTTTTTACTACAAACCATGATGCCTGTCTTTTGATAAGACAGAGTCTTTAGGTAGGCATTCTTTCCACTGAACTTAAAATCCAGCTCCTTTGCACATTTCTCATCCTGGATGGTTCTAGTTTAGTCACCAAGAATGAAGCCTGTTTAGAAGGATGTGACAACTTACCGAAAAACTCAGCTGTTATACTTAAAAATCTCTAGTCTAATCTCTAGTCTCTCTGAGTGTCTTCTGAGCACCTACCTTTAGAACCATCCTACTTTGAACTCAGAACAAACAAATTCTATTCTCAGCAGAGGAACTTGAAGGGTGCTTCCTGCCCATCCTCCCTTACATGATGTGGGTGGTGTTGGTCAGGAGGCCTCCCAGGACCCAGGTGCATCTCCAAATCAGTTGCTGCTGTCACGCATCTGAAGGGAAGGGGTATTGAGGAGGGATGTTGGGTAGTCAGTGTATCCTAGAGAGCCATAGTTACTATAGCTGTTCTTTTTTAAATTATAAAAATTTCACGGTTTGAATAGCACTTTTATGGTAGTGCTATTCAAACCGTGAATCGATCCTATTTTATGGAGCCAGAAAGGTGCTTGGAAGGATGCTCTAGAATTCCATTCATATTGGTCATTTTTACACACAATTAAACTCTCTCTTGCCTTATTATTGTTTGCTAGTGCAGCTGTCCTTGCTGACAGGCCTTCAACAGTCCTGTGATGCAAGGAATGCTTTTTCAGAACTGCTGTTTTCCTGTTACACTTTTACACGTGATTCATTCACCGATGATTTTATCTTCAGTGATGTATTTCCCAGGATACAGCATAAAGTATACATACTAAGATTATACAAATCTTCACAGTTAAATCTGCATAGGTCTGCAGTATCTGGCAGTATTTACAAATAAATATTCTTGATTTTCCCACAAAGATACTCTGCTTTACTCTTTCCTCATTAGTTAATTATTAGTTTATATGATGTGTTTAAATTAGCTTTAGGCATTTAACACACTACAAAGGATCAGATTTTGCACAGAGATACGAAAGCCCTTGTCCAAGAGGAGCACCATGCCTGCTGTTCCCAGTTTCATGTGAAAAAGCAGAAGTCAGGCAAGAGTAGCAGGTCTAACAGAAAGCACTAATTTCAGCCCTATCCCTTCAAAGCTCGGGCTGCTTATGAAGTGATCCACTGTTCCTTGTATCATCAGGCAACTCCTAGGTATGTCTCTAGACAGGTCACAACTCAAGAATTTTTATTAGAGTAGAAATATGTATCTAGAGCGTGTTGATTTTTCTCCCCTAGGTATTCACTGTAGTTGTCTGTCTTGATGCAATCTGAAGTCTTCTTAATTAGAAAATGTTTACAAGTAACTTTTGTGTTGTTGTACTCCACCTGACAGTGCTGATTGACAAAGACCAATCCCCCAGATGGAAGCCAGCTTCTCTAGAAGAAGTCAGTGATGAAATTGTGGACGATTGTTTTAAGCCATTGGGAAGCAACGATCTCAAGTTGTAACGATCCAGCCTATTGACATGTTAAACATCTGCTTAATTCTATAATATAAAAATTAATAGTAGCGTGATAAAGTTTGGCAAGACTTTAAGCTCTCCTGAGATTTGTAAGTCTAATTTTTTGCATTCAGGAACATACTCTTTGGTTACGCTGCCATAATGGCAAAATAATCATATCTCTAGTTAATAAGGGGAAAAATTACTTCAAGGCAAATGGTTATTTTTACTGTTTTACACAACGATTAACATTTAATTTTTTGCATCAACTCCTAGTTTAGGAGGAACTTTTGGAGGGGAGAGCATAGTTAAGGGGTGACCTAATAAGCAAGAAGTCAGCAGACCTTTGTGTTCTTGGCTCTGTCATTGATCTGTTAAATTTGGATTGTGCCTCAGATTCTTCTCTATACAATGAAAATAATATATCCTTAAAGCTTTAAAACAGTCAGAGCAACAAACAAAAATGCAATACATGCTAAACCCATGGTGTTAAGTAGCCTTTTAAATAATAGGTCAGAGCGACACATTATTAGGCTGAGAGCAAGAAATTGTTCTATTGATTTAACATTTGGTCACTGTTCAGTCTTGCTATGTGATGTAGACATTGTTTTAAATGTCATAATATTGCCGGAGCCCGGAGCACACTTCTGTTTGCTTGTAAAACCTATTTTTTTTAAATGCCATTAAGTTTGATTGAACTGCATAATTAGTTTTCCACAATTTAAAAAATTGCTAGTTTTTCCTGGTCTTACAGTGGTGAAGAAATAACTGTCTCAGACCTTCCTCTCAAGCTAAGCAGCACATTTCTAGTTGATGTTAGTGACTGTCTAACGATTTTAGTGGTAGGGGTGAGCCTGGCCCTAATACTGCAAGTGGCCCGAGTTTATCTATACCAACTAGTTTGTGTTCCTGTTTGCTTGTGCCCACAAACATCCTGTCTGCTGGGTGGAAAATTTGTGGAAAGTAGGGGGAACACAGCTATAGGTACTGAAGATAATGAATAAAGAAAACTTGAAATATCTGCTGCTACGTGGATCGTATATTTTTTTAACATAACGTATCCCAACAAATACATTTGTTGGGATCAAAATTTAAATACACATCAAAAATCCCTCGTCATACGTGCATAAAGGTTGCTAGGTTCTGATACTAATAATACTTGAAGTTGTATGACATACCCAGAGCCCCTCGATGAAAGTATAACCTTTTTGGGGGGTAAAAAGAATTTTTCTATTATCTATGCAACACATAGCTACTAAACTTTCTTCAACATTAAGACTGCATGCTTTTTATGATTAATCAAATCAGCTATCAGTATATCCCTTCCTACTTGTTTCTACAGTTATAGGCAGGTCACAAATACAAGTTTTGGCTTCTCTGAAGATGAACCACTGAGACTAAAGGAAGAAAAATTTTGTTCAAATAACCTAGTCAGTAATCAGCAGTGGGGAATCAAAAAGTCAGAGCTACAACAGAACCATTGTGGAGTTTTCAACGTTGGGCAGTTTTTATTACAGACAGCAATGGTCTACACTGGCTTTAAGGCTCCTTCCTTTCTAGAAGCTGTTGCCTGGAAACAAAATCCAGGGAACTCAGGCATCAAGGTGAACTACTGGAGTGACTTTCAAAGAATTAGAGGTGAGCAAAGTGGAGGGCAAAATCAAGAAAAAATGGCACTTTGCTTTGTCACTAGAATATTTGAGTTAAATTGTTAAAATTTCAGCTGCAAGTTAATGTTACTACGTACATATTTGAGTTTATTTTCAAAAGTACTTGAGAGATTTAATTAATACCTTTAGAGTAGTTCTGAAAATATGACTTTAATTTATACCTCATGCTGGTTCTGTAAGAAATGTAAACTTCCTCCCTAATTTGTTTAAAGTTTTATATGGTTTAGATTCTTTAACAAGAGCTACTTTTAATTTTTTTTTTTTAAAAAAATGGTTCATTCCATCATTTTTGTACAAAAGGAGCAACTTCAGTGACTATATTTAATGAAAAACACCATAATCCCCAGGGAGTAGGGATCATGCCTTCTCTGATTGAAAAGGACTTACAGCTTTTTAGCAAGTGTATACTTCTGAATCAATAAACTTTGACTTGCATGTTGAGTTGCTTCCAAAGTTTATGTGAACAGAAATTATCCCAAACTCATGGTAACAAGATCCTGTCCAATCTGCACATTTTTATCAAGTAAAAGTCGTACAAACAGATGGTAAGTTTCATTTTATTTGGTCCACAAGAAAATATTTTCCACAAAAAATATTGTAAAAATATACTGTAGTGTGTTTTATTTGGGAATACTGATGTGTCTTACTCCAGAAATGTCAATTTTACAAAGTTACACTGCAGTTAATGGGTTTTGAACCATTGTTAGAATATTAAGTCAGTCACCTCATACCCACTCAGACTATACTTATTGCTTCCTGGAGAAAACGTAAAGCAAATGTATTTTTAACTCCTAAATAGAAGTAAATGGTTTTGCAGAGTATGCCAGTCCCATACTGCCTTTATTACACAAGATCAAGTCAAAGAATCAGTGGCAACTTCTCTGGAAAGCCACTATAAGTGGCTTTATAAGACAATAGCACAGCTTAGAGCAATCTAATGATAAGTAAACAGATGTAATTTTATTTAGGGA